ATGCTGTTGCTGCAGCAGCAGAGTCAACAGCAGCAGACAAACTGATGCGCATCCCCTCTGGCTGAATACTGTCTTTCTGGAGTCTCCGCATTCTCTCAGTATTGAGGGCCTTTGCTGTCGTGGGTCTCAGCAGCTGTTTCTTTGAAGCTTCTCCACCTCTTGCTGCTGCTGCTGCTGCTGCTGCTGCTGTTGCTGCAGCAGCAGCAGATGCAGAGTCCTGCACCTCTTCCTGCTGCTTACCCAGCATCCGCAGGAAGCGCCGCGGCTTGTATGTCAGGAGGGCCTCCAGGGGCCTCCTGTGTGCTCGTTGCTGCTGGGCGTCTGATAGAGTTGAAGCTGACCGTCTTGCTTTCCCCTCTGCTGCTGCTGCTGCTGCTGCTGCTGCTGCTGCTGCTGCATGGCGGGTCTCTCCAGTGCCAGGGGAACCAGGCCCTTGGAGCAGCACATCTGTTGCTTCTGCTGCTGGCGAGCTGAGAGACAGCTCAAGGCTTGTGGGGTGAGCAGCAGGAGACAGGCCGAACAGGTGCAGCAAGAAGGCCTGCTGTCTCTCATTGACAGCAGCAGCAGCAGCAGCAGCAACCTCCTTTGCTCCTGCTGCTGCAGGTGTGAAATCCTCTCCCCCTTGTTTAGGCAGCTCCTGTTGAGCTGCTGCTACTGAGGCCCTCTTTCTTCTCCTGCTAGTAGTCCTCCGACGTGTTGCTGTTGCTGCTGCTGCTGCTGCTGCTGCTGCTGATGCTGCAGTAACTTCTTGTGGTGCTTCTGGAGGAGGCGGAGCAGCAGCACCAGAAGCGAGGCCATTGGTCCCCATGAGCAGAGAAGGGGGTGTTGCAGCAGCAGCAGCAGCTGCTGCTGCAGCAGCAGCAGCAGGCTGCAGCAATGCATCTGCTGCAACAGTAAGGACCTCTCGCTGCAGCCACTGAGACTCTTCTTTCTCTGCTAAGACACATTGGTGCATGCGCAGGGGCCTCAGCACGACCCATACGAAATTTTTAAGCAGCAAAGGGCACAAGAGGGGGCCCCCCTGTAGGGGGCCCCCATGCATCAGCGCAGCCAGCCGGAACCCCAGCCCAGGAATATCTATGAGGAACAACCCCACCAAAAACACATACTTCGCTGTAAGAAACACATCTGATCCCACGGCCGCCTTGCTGTTCTGTACCCAATGGGGGGCCCCCCCCTCACGCGAGCCCGTGGGGGCCCCCCCAGCAGACGCTGCAGACGGCTTGGGGCCCACCGTGGGGGGCCCCGGGGGC